CAGCAGAATCTGTCGGACAAGTTTTAACAGGAGCGATACCGCTTCAACTTACTTGGAATGAGCTGCAGCTCCAGCAGGCCCTCAGGTGAGAGATCAGGACACCAAGGCCAAAGAAACTTCAGAGAGAGAGAGAGAGACAGCAAACTGAACAAGCAGAAAGATAAACAGGTGAGTCATCTGCATACCTGCAGGGAACAGCATGTAGTGCTGCTGCCAACTTCCAGTTCAGGTTAACATCTGTGAACATCAGCACAGGTTGCACATATGCAAATCAGCGACCTGGTTTAGTTTTGTTTCAGCATCGGCTTGATAAATCCTCGACCTCTGATTGGCTGCAAGAGGTCAACGTACATCAACAAGGACTCCTTCTAAAGCCTGACTTATTCGCCTACATCGGACCAGATCTGAAGTGGTTCTGATGAAACTGTTCACTGTTCTAAATCAATGTGCAAGCTCCATGTCAGTCCATATCCAGCGAGAGACTACAACTCTTTTTTTGGAACATTTGGATTACTGGCAAACAGCCAAAGAAAGAGAGAGAACCTTTCTTGTTTTGAACAGTGAGTGTTCTCCTTCAGTACCTCTGCACACCACAGGAGGGCGACTGTAATTTCCACATAAATATGTACCAAATCTATTTTTGATGGAGCTCTCTGCAGACACGTGTCAAGCTGAACAGAATATAGCTCAACCTGGACAGGAAGTCAGACAAGGAAACGCACAGAGCATCCTGTCAATTTCAAAATAAAACACAATATAGGAACTCATGATCGTGCATCCCATCACTTTATCAACATAAGGTTAAAATAGAAATGACAACTTAAAGACAGGGTTGGTAATTTTGGAAAACTAGCATGATTTTTGAAAGTAGCATTCCCTCAGTGCCCCTTTGTGCTCCCTCATAAGCCACGCCCCCTCACTTACAGGCGCCGTCCCTCCAGAAGTGGACCTCAGCTCATCTCTGTCATTGTGTAGAAACTACGTCGTCTCATGTCTCATTCAGCGGTCAGTGAACTCTCAGTATAAACTCCTAAAGTCATCGGTGACGAGCTTTGAGTGTGAGCTAGAGCACGCAAGAGAGCGAGCAGGGAGACAGGGAGGCGTCTGATTGGCTCATCAGATTGGTACCTCGTGGCAGACATTGGTTGAAGTTTTTACAGACTTACAAACTGATACAGATGATGGATTTTCTTTGTTCCTGTTTCAGAGAACATGAGTTATTCATTTCTGTCAGGACCTAAAGACAATTTACACCAGAATCTTAAAAACTGGATCTGGAGGAAATCAACAATCCTGACTTTCACAGAACTCCTGGTTGTATGCATCATTACACATTTTCCAGTCCTGACCTGCAGCATCCAGTATCTTTATTTGGAACAATGCACCCTTGAACACATCTGTCAGAATGGACCAATCGTTGGATCTATCGGATGATCCTGCAAACAATGACTCTGCTGCAGTAGGACACATATATGAACAATATGATATTTGTGTCTGTGTCCTGTATGACAAAGCACAAAGCTCTAAGGCAGGGGTGTCCAAAGTGCGGCCCGAGGGCCATTTGTGGCCCTTGAGGGGATTTTTTGCGGCCCGTGACTTCAAATGAAGAATGAGAAGATTTTGGCACATTATCTTATTTTTCTTTTTCATGTTAACAAGTGCTGAACAATATTCCTAAAATAGAAAATGTTCAGTGACATGTATGTTGTTGTTTTTTTAAATCTACAGCTTTTACTATTTTCCACATTTTTTTGTAAACTGTGAAAAAAAACGTATGCAAAGTTTTTGTAAACAAGTGGACTGTTGTTTAACCGTTTAATGACCTGAGCTAAATGCAGAAAGCTTTTCTAAAAACATGAACCACGTTACAGGATTGAGTCTGAGGAAAAAACAAATAAAGTAGAACGAAGAAATCTAAATATTTGATTTCCTTTTATTAAAGGGTTTCTTTAGCGAGCCTTTTCATTCTGATCTACAAAGTCTTACTATTTTTAAAACTATATGTTAAAAAACAAAACCTGTGGCCCATGAATGATTCTAACACGACAATTTTGGCCCGCAAGAAAAGAAGTTTGGACACCACTGAGTCTAAGGCCTGTAACTCTTGGGCACACACATGCAGAGTGCATTACGTGTTAACATGAAGGGCGTTGTCCCAGATGATGAGACAAATCTCTGAGGCTCCCCGCTGAAAGCATCTTGGCACACACATAACGATTACTTTTCCCTGGCAGCAAAACGAGGACTCCACCCTCTCTGTCTGTATAGCTTTATGCTCCCACTTATTCTTCTTGCTTAACTGTCGACTCTCTTTCCCCCACCGGCAGCCTGGCAGCTTCTTTTGTGTCACGCAGCCCGAGCCGAGCTGCCTGCTAGTGGGTTTACCTTTTACCTGACGCGTCACGCAAAGACAATTCAGTATTACAGCCGAGGGAGCCAAAACCAGAAACCAGAATGGAGTATATGCCAAAAGGATTATCGACATTGTTCCCTCTCTGGATTTTTAATATCCAGGCTCTTTTTTTTTTTTTTTTTTTAATGACCACATGTACTAACGTGTTCAGACAAGATGGAAATCATGGAAGCAAAAAACGAAAAAGAGAATCGGAGCTTTGAAAGACGAGAGAGAGTTTTAAAAGTCAGGATTTAAGATTCATATCACACAAATAATAATGGAACACAAAGAAATCCAAAGTCAGAAATGTAGAATAAAACAGACAAGAACTGGATTTATGGATCCCCTAAACCTTCTCTGTCGGGCCCCCCTTTGACAGACTTTGTAGCCTTGCCATGCCCAGGGACAGTGGGGGGGCATGGCACCCACTCGGGGGGCATGACCATCAAGCTGAAACCAGCTTGATGGTCAGATCTTTAGGGAGACAGATTTCAGGAAAGTCGCTTTCTTCTTCACGTTTTAAAAACAGGAGAACAAACTGAAGTTTATTTTAAGAATCCTTTTATTGTTTCATTGCAGCTTTTTACACAAACAAACAAACAAACAAACAAACACAAATACACCATTGTTGTTCTCATGAATTTTGCACATACACTGATAAATTTTCGTACACGCACGAAGTATCAAAACAAAAAAAACGATCAAGCATTCATGTGTTACCGATCTAAAATCCCATTAGTTAAAAAAAAAGAAAAGAAAAACAATATTAATATAATAATAATAATAGGAAATAAAACAAACAAATATTTACAAAGTCTTCTGTTAAAACTACAGATATGTACACGGTGGGGGTGGTCAGCGCTCCGAGAGAAAGAGAAAGAGAGAGAGAGACAGAGAGAGAGAGAGAGAGAGACGAGAGAGAGAGAGAGAGACAGAGAGAGAGAGAGAGAGAGACGAGAGAGAGAGAGAGAGAGAGAGAGAGACAGAGAGAGAGAGAGAGAGAGAGAGAGAGAGAGAGAGAGAGAGAGAGAGAGAGAGGAGAGAGAGAGAGAGAGACAGAGAGAGAGACAGAGAGAGAGAGAGAGAGAGACGACGTATAAACGATAAACAAAGTGTTGAAATAAAGGTATGAACACATTTTAAACAGACGTGGGTCAATCACTGATCATCGTTTTTACCTAAATAAAAAAATAAAAATTATTGTTCTGACATCACAAACATTTACGACGTATAAACGATAAACACAGTGTTGAAATAAAGGTATGAACACATTTTAAACAGACGTGGGTCAATCACTGATCATCGTTTTTACCTAAATAAAAAAATAAAAATTATTGTTCTGACATCACAAACATTTACAGTTCAAGAAATGTAAAAAAAAATGTGCTTGTTGGGTTTGTGGTTTTTAAAAGAACAAAGACAAACTGGGATTTTAAAGAGGACATATCACCCCCTCCTCCACCTTTTCAAACAGTCCTCCTCCACCTTTTCAAACAGTCCCCTCCTCCACCTTTTCAAACAGTCCCCTCCTCCACCTTTTCAAACAGTCCTCCTCCACCTTTTCAAACAGTCCTCCTCCTCCACCTTTTCAAACAGTCCCCTCCTCCTCCACCTTTTCAAACAGTCCTCCTCCTCCACCTTTTCAAACAGTCCTCCTCCACCTTTTCAAACAGTCCCCTCCTCCACCTTTTCAAACAGTCCTCCTCCACCTTTTCAAACAGTCCCCTCCTCCACCTTTTCAAACAGTCCTCCTCTCCACCTTTTCAAACAGTCCTCCTCCACCTTTTCAAACAGTCCCCTCCTCCTCCACCTTTTCAAACAGTCCCCTCCTCCACCTTTTCAAACAGTCCTCCTCCACCTTTTCAAACAGTCCCCTTCTCCACCTTTTCAAACAGTCCTCCTCCACCTTTTCAAACAGTCCCCTCCTCCACCTTTTCAAACAGTCCCCCTGTGGTCTAAATGAAACATCTGTGCTGTGCTTTGGTCAAAATATAACATGAATCAAGCACCAGAGGAGGTTTGTGACCCTGTATAAACCAGCTCTCTCAGAACGCTCCGTTTTGGTGTGTGTGTCTCTTTAAATGTAATTTACAAATATTATTCAGTCAATAAAATAAATTAATGGATCTCTTCCTCTGTGATGTTGACCGCTCCAGGGATTTAAACTCTCTTGAACCCTGCAGCATATTTTTGGCTCCTTTGAAAAATGGACGGCCGCCAGAGTTTATAACTCAAACTTTACACATAAACTCACGTAAAGTCAAGCGATGCAGTGTGTGTGTGTGTGTGTGTGTGTGTGTGTGTGTGTGTGTGTGTGTAGTTTACGGTGTGTATATATTCTGCACGTTATAACAATCAGGAGAGATTACGCAACAGGTCGATCCGCCCTCGTCTGTTTTTTTGTTTTTCTGAAGCTGAAGTGTTTAAACAAATACAGGAGAGACAAAAAAAAAAGAAACTGCAAGCAAACCGCAAACTGTCGTCAGAGCTCGGTCGCCGTGGTAACGGGTAATATCACGGATACAAACATTGGCAAATGGCTGTGAGCTCGACAGGTAGTACCTGTGCTGAAACAAGCAGAACCAGGTGATTATTAACTTTTTTCATGAAAAGGTTTTTTCTGATCGTGTCCGATGATTATTCCTCGTTTTTTTTTTTCCTCCTTAAGGGCCCTTGAAGGGAGATTGTGTCACAAGGACGTTTCAACATGGAATCTCACTCATCATATTAACATTTAATGTAAAAAAAAAAAAAAGTCAAGTATAAATCTCGATACATTCACTTCGTATTCTCAGACACACAATCACACATATTTATAAACAAGTATTTACAAAAGGCAGGATGGAGGGGAGCAAAGTTAAAAAACCTCGAATAATAAAAGATGGCGACAGTGATGATGACGAGGAAGAGGAGGAAGAAGATGGCAGCAGATTTGTAGGATAAACAAAAAGTTCATGTAGAAGAGAGAGAGTCCAGGATGTGATCAAACGGAGTCCTGGATGCTTGGTTAGGAGCCTGACCCCCCACAGTTCAGATGTAATGATGCATGAGTGTAGGTGTGGATGTGTGTTTTTATTGTGCATTGATTTGAGTTCAACCAGTGTGCGTTATGAATCGACGCCTGTTCAGTGACGACAACAGACACCAAAATCACCTCTGAGCTCCTGAGGTGGCTCATCAGCTCTGCTGCTAAGTCGTCCACAAACGCCGTGTGGACTGACAGTCAGCGGGTCAACGGGTTTTTTTTATCAGAAAGCAGAAAATGGAAAACTGTTCTCTCCCTGAAAGTTTTCTTTTCCTTCTTTGGATCCATTTTGATTCCATCACTCAGCTGATGTTAGCGTTGAGCGTCAGATTTAAAAACAGGTGCACAGAGGCGATTCTGGTGCTGTGTCTGCTCACGTTTTCTTTAGGAGGCCGTCGTGTATAGAAACTGTTTTGTGTGTGATTGCATGTGTTTTCGGATGTGTTATATACAGGTGTGTCTGTGGTGAGTTAGTTCTGGTGGCGTTTCATGTGCAGGGCCAGGTGATCGGAGCGCGAGAAGCAGCGGCTGCAGGCGACGCACTTGAAGGGTTTGGCCCCGGTGTGTTTCCTGTAGTGTCTGGTGAGCTCGTCCGATCGGGCGAAGCGCCAGTCACAGTTCTCCCACGTACAGCGGTACGGTTTCTCCCCTGCAACACAGAGAGAAAAGAAGAGGGCTTAGAAATACACTGAATATTTTCACAAAATAATAATAAAAATGACCGCCAGCGAATACGAGTACAGCCAGGAAACAAGTGAAGGATCAGATCCAGCACGCGACAGGCTGAAAGTGCGTTTTAGCTGTTTGTTTGGAGGTTGAGAAAAGCATTTCCAATGTGGCGACGGCCATCAATTGGCTTCAAAACTCTGACATTACTGAGACTACGTCCATTTTTTTTTTTTTTTTTTTTTACAAAGACCCTCAACTTGCTTGAGATGCAAAATTCATCCTCGTTTTCATATTTGTGCAAAATATAACTCGTTGTTTCTGCAGCTATAGGACGTTAAGAGAGGCGAGAGATCATCAACCATGTAGCAAAATGTTTCCAAGAACTGACAGGAACTGAGGTGGAAACTCTGAAAGTAGATTTCAGTTTGCGGTTAATCTTGTCTCTCTCTGCAGACAGTGTGTCCGCTGTGATGCTGCTTTGTTCCTATTTTGAAGATTTTTATGACTTTTATGACTTTATTTGGAGACAGGAGAGTGGATAGAGTCGGAGAGAGAGAGTGGGGAATGACAGTGGATAAAGGAGAAACAGGTTTGACTTGACCCGGGTCGCCTGCTTGGAGGACTACATCCTCTGTACATGACGCTTCATCCACTCCCCTTCCATGTGGAGTAAATCAGTATTTAGAGATGTTTAAATCAGCACTGAAGGCGAGAGAGAATGTGCTTGTGGTTTTCACGGCTCACTCCATATGTCATGAGCTTCACACAGCGGCTACATGTGACAAAGAAGCCGACTTGTTGTGCTCATTTATCAAACATAAGAAAGTGAGTGGAGTGATATTTCTAAAAACAGGAAAAGAGTGACGCAGCGGGATGATGCGGCAGAAACGTGTCCGTCTGACTTTCATGTCTTCACTTGACTCACTCAGACGATGTGTGGGTGTTTGATTCCTGTCAGTGTGTGTTTGACTGTACAGCATTTGACCTGCCTCAGGTAACACAATCAAACATAAAAACATGATTTTAATGGACAATCCTGGAGGCACTTCTTAACTTCAACTCAAGTTTCACTAAAGCACTTCATGTTTGCATTGTTCAGGTATCTGCAGGCTCAAATCAGGGATATTATGGGAGTTTCTAAATGAATAATCTCAGATCTCTGCATGCACATTCTTAAAGCTTTATAAATCACAAAACTATTTTAGTCACTCATTATACCTGCATGACTCGCTCTCCTTTATTCTCTTGTTTTTTTAAATCGTAAGGTTGTATTGAAGAGAGAGAATAGAAAATTCAAAGCCCTGAACAACAACAAGCAAAGTAAATCAAACATGACACTTATCCTGCTCCACCCAAACTTTTTTTTTTCTCCGCTCTTCTACAACGTGCTATTGCCAAACATCGAGCTAATCATCGACAAAGAGAAAAGCTCCATGAATAGGCAGGTATGCACTCGGCAGGAAAACAAGAAAAGTAATTTCTCAAAGACGAGGTGAGAACACAAGGTGTGGGAATCAGAGGTGTGCGCACAAACACAGATCAACAAGGCCAACGATGAACTCCCAGAACTTTGGTTTCATACTTTGTCAGAGCCAAAAGTTAAATATATCACATTTCTTTAAAGTTATAAAATCATCACCTGAACGTTTCTCACTCCAGGGAATAAAGGAGCAGTGACTCAAAACATCAACCTCAGAAACGTGTTGGCTCTTTTAATGTTGGCCGCTTCATGAAGTTTAACTTTCTACTCTCCAGTCTCAACGAGTCACAAAGAAGACAAAAACATTCTGATACCGATTCTTTGAATCCAAAGAAGTGGAGTTTATATGTTTGTCTGATAGTTGGAGTGGATTCTTTATCAGCCAGTGTTGAAGGAGGGAGATTGTCTGAGTACCTTTTCGGGGTCATCAAGTGCTCGTTAGCAGCGTGGGCCTCGATAATGCTTTTATGACCGTGACTAATCAATAGCAGGAGCTATCTGCTATTAGCCATCAATCACTGAGAGACAGCCGTTAGCAGAGCGAGGGGGTCCAAAGAGCAGAGAGGGGACGCAGGTGACAGGAAGAAGGAAAAAAAAAAGAAAAAGGTTTTATCTTAACGTAGAAAAGGCTTCAATTCCAAACTGCAGCTGATTGTTGGGTTCAAATAGCTTTTAAACAATATTTTGAAACGGGTGCAATTTAAGATTTGTATTCACCATGTGTTGTTTAGTCAAAAAAAAAGGTGTTCGTTATGCTACAGTACACAAATAGGGGCGCCAGACAGCCTAGTGGTTTTATCACACAGCCCTTTTAAACCCTTTTAAACCCTGTTTCGGTCCAGTTCAGCTCGGTACACATTTATTGGCGTTTCTACTAGGGCTGGACCGATATGAGATTTTTGGGGCGATTACTGCTATCGATTTGGGGAAAAAAACAAAACAGATACCGATATATCGGCTGATATCTTACCTGGATCTGTAGAGATAGATATAGAAACACACGCCCTCTGCTGGTGAAAGAGAACTGCTAGTGTAAAACAATGAAACTCAAATTAAATGTTATTTGACTGGTGAATAAATCGAGTAATATCGGTGCATATCTGCAATACAATTCGCCGATACCCAGAGTCACTGGACATGCTGATATCGGCCGAGATTATCGGCCAGCCGATTAATCGGTCGTGCTCTAGTTTCTACTGTCAATAGTTTGAATTGGCACCAAAATAACCGAACAGTACCGTCCTACTTTTTTGCTTCCCTTATGTTGGGGTGCCAAGCGTACTCATCCGACCCTAAAGGGTGGAGCTAGACACACTGTAGACCGTTGATTGGGCGAAAGAATCGTCACTTCCAGAGAAAAAGGTATTAAAAAGGACAAACACAAAACGTGTGTGGATCTCTTTATATATTGGCCACATTTAACCCGAGAAGCCCTTTTTTTATAACCCAACAAGCACCTGAATCCCACATCAGAGGCTCTGAAGTGCTCCAGTCTGCCATCAGGACAATATCCTGTTTCTGGAGTTAACCGCTCTGTGTGTGTGTGTCTGTGTGTGTGTGTGTGTTGAAGCTCTCGACTTGCAGGTGTGTTTGGTTTTGCTGTATAGCGGCTCAGTCGGGGTCAAAGCACAGCCGCCTCCCTCAGACTATTATCCCTGAGGGCTAGCAAACAAGCAGGTGAAATATGACACACACACACACACACACACACACACACACACACACACACACACACACACACACACACACAGAACAAACACACTTGATGAGTATATACTGCTAAACAAGCTGCTAAAGGCTCAGACCAACACAACCATCGATCTACATACCATGCTTTCACTGTCCTCCAGTCTTAAGAAGAGCAGGGGGATTTTATTGGGTTTTTGTTGGTAAAAAAAACAGTTTCCAACATAAACTGAATGTTTAGAATTGTGACTGAAAGAGATAAAATAGACGCTTGAATGTGTAGTGTTCAATAATATCACCATGCAAAGCTTTTCAGAAGGCTGCAATCCATACATCCATCATCCATTATCATTCCTCCATCCATCTATCCATCATCCATCCAAAAATTAATATACACACATCTACTACAATATATCAGTATAAGCTCCAAATTGAGGCACTATTGGCCAAGCGGTTAGGGCGTCTGCCCCATGTACAATGCCTTTTGTCCTAGATGGGTCTATCTCTGTCGACTTCTGTTTGCAGTCGAGTTACGAACCAAATGCAAAAGTGTCATAAATTAATCCAAATCCTCAATAACAACCTTAGTTTTTGAAGTTTCCAATTTCATATTTGGAAATTCTTCGGCTTCTCAGCTTTGCATTTATTTAAAAAAAAAAAAGCTTTATTCTCACATTATTTAGGGAAGATAGTCTATACTTACTGAAAGTTTAAAAACCAACACACTCGTTGATGTGTGTCCATTAAATCTAAAGAATCCTCCTCTCTCCTCTCTCAAAGCGTTTACAGACTTTTGTTCAGCAGCTGTTTGATCAGCTGGCCGATTAGAAACAGACGATCTATTATCAGTGAGTCTCAAATACACAGAAACATTCACTAATGAGTGCACGTATAAATACACACACACACACACACACACACACACACACACACACACACACACACACACACACACACACACACACACACACACACACACACACACACACACACACACACACACACACACACACACACACACACACACACACACACACACACACACACACACACACACACACACACACACACACACACACACACACACACACAAAGCACACACTTGTGACGGTACAGGCAGTTTAGCAGAGAGAGCATCATCAATCACTCGGAGACAAAAAGCTTTTGTTGCATGCTGACATCGGGAACACAGATATATTTACTCTCTATAGGAGGCTTTAGGAGCCTCTGAAGACCGGTTCAGACCGCAGGAGTTTGATATTCTTCTCCATAATCTCAAACACTAAAGATATAAAAATCCTGGCACATCACTGGTACAGGATTTTACTAAGATCATCGTGCTTGACCGAGGAACGCACCACCTCAGGTGACCTCACAGAAACAACAGAGCCGGTATTTAGATTATAATACTTTGTGCAGAGAGGACAAAAACAGCTCGGGTGAAGAAATGCAGACGTGGACAACATGGATTGTCTGTTCTTCAGATTCCAACATAACGAAGATAAACGCTGGTTGCTATGGTTTGTTTTCATCAAGTGTGTGATGGAGTAGCAGAGAGAATCAATCCAATTATTCCCCACCAGCCTCAATGTTTTCTTTTGTTTTTGTTTTGATTGAGGGCCCCCTGGTGGTGGAGGTTACACACTGTACATACTGTACATCTGTGTTCTTTAAAGGCTCTCTGTTTTGTTTTGTTTTTCTTAAAAACTGCAAGCTGAGCTAACTAAGTTACTAACATGAATTCAGCGTGTTTCTTTATTGGCATCAAGATGTCAGATGACTTCAAAGATCCAGTTTTAAATGAGCATGATCCAAAAAAAGGTTCTTGACGTATCTTGTGAGGAAAAAAGTCTGCAGAAGTTGTTATAAGTCCATTACCCACAGACCTAAATGAGAATATTTCTGAGGACAATGACACGCTTTTTACAACCTAACAGTGGCTTTTTATTTCTGTCAGTCACTCCATTCATGCTCTCAGTGACTCTACATCGTGTACTGTGATACATGGGGAGTATCAGAACAACATTTTAAAAGCCCTGTGTCTGATTCGACTGATTTAAAGAGCAAACAGCTCCAGGCTCTTTCAGGATGCCCATAAACTCAGTCAGTTTTATCAGCTCAGTGAGTGTTTGTGAAGAGGGCTGGAAGGATTCCCTAATCAGGCTGATAGTACTCTACTCTTTACACACACATTTACGAACTCAATTACGAGGTTGCACATTGACTTTAATGGAGTTCAAACGGCCGCTGAGGCCATGGTCAAGGCCGTCGCTGAGCAGCAGGGGGGAGGAGCTGGTTGTTTTGAAAGCAAAGAAATTAACAAAGGAGGATCAATGGACTACAGTAACCTGCAGCAGCAGCAGCCCTCAGGTGATTGATTGTTTCCTCTGATAACATTCATGTCGAAGTCGACATAAAGATCCAAACATGTTGTGAATGGGGACTGAACAAGTATTCAGGTAGAGGTAACGTATTAACAGAAAGAAGATGAAGTTATAAGCTATAGCTTTCACCATCAGTTAGTTATTTTGAAAAGGTTTAAGGACCGAAATCAGAGAGAGAGAGAGAGAGAGAGAGAGAGAGAGAGAGAGAGAGAACTGTGCACTATAATAAAGTTAAAAAAATATCTGACATCTACACTTCAGCACAGTATGTACAGAAGTATTGACATACATGTACTCGATTACATTCCAGTGCTGCATGTTAATCGACTTGCGACGGACGATCCTGTCGAGCCTGTTCAGATCCTGTTGTGGATAAGAACAGTTTCACCACAGCATGATCCAAATTTAACCCATTTCGGTGGAATATGAATTTAGCCTCGAGCTAATAAGTTTAATGACCTACATCTCATGCAGGCTGTGCATAGCCACTCCCAGCATGCATTGTGTGGGACGCAGTAAACACACTGAAGAGATCATAGCACTGACAGATAGAAACATTCACATCAGTTAGGACTTCTCATCTGACCCCCAGAGCAGGGTTTATGAACGTATGAACTCAACACAAAAGTGTTTGTTTTAAAGGGAGAATTTAAGCTAATAAGCTAACGTGTCCTCTCATCCAAAACAAGATGAGTAGATTTAAGCCTTTGAGACCGGATTCCCTTTGCAGAAAAGATGAAACAGATACTTAATGAAACATTCACAGCAGTCTTTTCTGACTTCCTGATACTGTAACCACAGGAGAAACGACATATCTCACTGCCAGTGAACGGAAACATTAGACTGGTGGTCTCAGCAGACACAATGACTGTGTCGATGCAACATGTAGATTTATTTTATTATGATGTCATCTTTAAAATGTATAGAAATGTTTCCTCTGGCTGTTCAGCAATCCTCTACATGTGCAGACACAAACAGGCACGATGAGTCAGCTAATCGTTTATCAGAAAGTTGAATGTATCCAATCCAAGACTAAAATGAAAAACTTAAATTTTTAACTGCTGGTTTAACAAAACAAGCATTTTCAATCCTCAGGTGGACCTTCAGGTGTTGTGATGGGTATTGTTTTTCCTTTTTCTGAAACTTGAAAACTTACTTACCCTAGAAGTAAAAAAATTAAGCCTTAATAATCTTAAAAACCTTCTACAAGTCAGAGAATTAAAAGTTTAAAAAACTAAAAAGGAAACCAGAGTTGGGAATCTTAAATTTAGAAGTGCACAGGTGTACTGAATTGCGGGATACATGCAGCAGATTTGTCTCGAAGGAAGCGTATAAATAGAAAATAAAAAGGGGACCTAGGACAGAGCCTTGAGGCACTCCAAAGAATAACGATGGTGTTGAATAATCATGATCTCTCTAAAAGATATAACACAAACTCACTGGGAGTTAGAGTGATGGGAGATCAATTTGTATCTAGTTCACAAACTATGGACAGCACTTGAAATAAAAAATACTGACAACAATCAGATCCGACATCTTTGCAATATTCACACTTTGGTAACGGATTCCTGCATTACTATCCTCGAACATGTCCTGCAGTTTAGGAAGGTAAAAATTTCTAACTTATGAGTCATCATCAATTGAAAGCTAAACAAGACCCGGCAAGCCCGTTTAAGCACAAACTCAAGTCTGTTTGTGAGATTCAGAGAGTAACCAGAATGAGTAAACATTTAACACAGCACGCTGTAAGAGCTGCTCTGATTCATACAGAGGAGGGAAGTGTATTGGGTAATTCAGGGTCTTTTAAGCTTGTGAAACAGTTGCAAATTTACTAACGATTGCTCTTATCCCGGGGAGGGATGAGGATAAAGAGAGGAGGTTGAGGGAATGCTCATAGAATAGGAAAGAAAATACACACTCCTACACTGTGCTACGCTACGATGCAATATAATACCATATGATCCGCTACAGTATACAATACGATAAGAAATTATGCAATAGGGCGCTGGTAGCCTATGGGTAGTGCATGTGTCACCATGTACAGAGGCTGCAGTCCTCAAAGAAGGCGGCCAGGGTTCTCAAAGAGTTTACTGCAGTGTCAACATATATTCATCTATTCTTTAAAGAGAGTCTTTTTCCTACAAAATAAGAAAGAGACAAAATTGGTGCCATGAAGGCATCCCATTGGGGCCTCCATATATGTGTGGTGGTGACTGTTTCTGCAGAGACCTTGTCTTCTGACTGGATTTTGATGTTTTGGTTGACTCAGGACGTTTCTGGGCAGGAAGCTGGTGTGTTTCTTCCAGCCAATGACAGCGCAGCAGGTGGGTTTCGGTGTGGATATGATGGACGTGGACGTAGCAGCAAAGAAGAGAGATTCAAATCACATTGAGGTGAAACACCAAGCGGATAAAGCTCGTTTTAAAACGAGGATGAACCTTGTGTTGGCTTTCACCTGCGGACGTGGAGTTGGTCTACTTCCTGTTGGACAGGAAGGTGACAAACACCGGAGGTTAGCTTGTGTTAGCGTCTATTAGCGTGCGTTAGCTAGCAGTGTAGGTACAAGCAGTAAACGTACACACTACATCCTGCAGTGAGTGTAAGCTTCTCCTTTAAGTACAGATTTATCATTTTCTCTTGTTTACTGTTCTCACTGTATATTATATAGTCTATTTGTCTTTTGTGCCTCTGTATCCTGCTGTTTAACAACCAAACTTCCCCGTCTGGGATCTATAAAGTTTTATCTATTTATGATCTGTTTCTGTTTGCACGTTTTATTCAAGTGCTCGCTCTCGTTCTCTCCGGCACTATTTTCACACCAGAGGAGCTCAACCTCTTTATCGCACGAGTAAATCTGCAGGTCTGAGGCTGCTGGGAATCTGCAGGTTTCATCTTACAGAAGGGAAACGCATCGAAACCAGCCTTCCCCCATTCTTAACCCCCCCCCCCCACCATCCTCTGAAAAGCAGGAGTAACTGGTTTGGCCTTGGTTTTAACAGCAAGTCTTCCCTCTTTTTTTTTCATCTTTCCTCCTTCCTCCCCTCCTCCCTCCCTTTCTTTGTTCAGGTCTCTCTCTGGGGAAGCTCGGCGGACAGGTATGAGCACGTTAAGACAAGAGGAGAAAAAAACAAAAACCCTGAGGAAATCACTTCTGTGTTGTCTTTACTTTTTATTGTGTTCTTCATCTCTGTTTTAGTTAGTGGGTGTATCGAAACTGGCAACGAGGCAAAATATGTAAAATACAAATAAATAAGAGGATGCCAATCACACTTTGCAATGTTTGATTTGGCTGGATGTTTGGTGGTTTGAATCCTAGGATAAGTTATGATGTGACCCTTTTTTGCAAGGGTTGAACATGCATTCGTTCTAAATTACCAAACAGGATTTAAAATCTGAAAAACCACAGAAGAAGAACTGTGAAGCTGAAAAATGTGGGGCCAAAGTGGAACAATAATCATATTTTGATGATTTTCGTGTTTGTTGTTTCAAAGCCTAACATTTTTAAAAAAAGTGATATAAATCTGTTCTTTATGTAAGTACGTTGAGTCTGGCTGTGAATGGATCTGTAATCAGGAAACCCAGTCCCTCAGAATCCCCGAGTCGATTAATGCTCCCAGTACAGAATCACTTTAAAACACTAAACTTTACACTGTAAGGACAAGGGAAGTGTATTTTGATTCCCTATAATAAAAGCTTTATTAAGATTTTAGAGGAAGCTTTTTCTTGTGCTAGTGCTATGCATTCAGAAGAACCAATCAGAAAGCAAGAGAGCATTAAATGAAAGTAGTTCCAGTCATCAAGCTGCAGAGACAGAGAGCTGTTAACTGACCTGTGTGCGTCCTTTGGTGCGCCTTGAGATGAGAGCTCTTTGTGTAAACTTTGGTGCAGCCTGAAAAGAAATCAGAGAGAGAGAGAGAGAGAGAGAGAGAGAGAGAGAGAGAGAGAGAGAGAGAGAGAGAGAGAGAGAGAGATCATGAGCTCGACTGACAGCAGAAATGTCTTCACCTATAAAGCTGTTTATCCAAGGAGAGAGAGCGGGCTGTTGCTCGGATTCTTTTTCACCTGTGACCCAGAGAGGGTGACATCCCAGATACAAATATGGACGTCTCTTTAATCAAACTTCAATCTTTGAGCAGCACAGCTGTGATAATTTTGAGTGGTTAACTTCCTGTTTTAAATAACCACAAAATATCTCCAGTTGTAGAAGACATGAATCCACCTTGAAATCCCAAAATCATTCTTTTATAAAAAACGTGAAAATCTGCTGATGGGATGAGATCACGTCACGGCTGTGGACAGAACTGGATGAATAGTCAGTCCATGACTTTATGAGCAGTGAAGGCTGGAGCAGTCATCTTCAAGAAGGGCACATTTTTCACAAGTGGACCAGGATGAAGTAGTGTGTAGTAATGTGTTAGCATGATGCTAACACATTATGGAAATTACCATTAACAGGCTAACAGACGTAGCATTGCAACAGAAGAAACAACCTGTTTTCTTAACAATGTTCAGTGAAATAAATATTTTCTAAAGTTCAGAGAAGCAGAGTTAGCGTTTAAAGTCTTTATTTGTGATTTTTAACCCTTAAATGTAGAAATCAGGTTTCTCCTCTGAAAATAACTCTGTGAGTCATGACTGTCTACAATGGGTGTAACACCCGAGTCCCACTGTCTGTGATGTTTTCAGAGTTTTCAGAGTCCTATCTTCACTTTGTTTACATCGCCGGGACGGCCGGCTGACTCCTCCCCTCACGTATAAAAGTTGTTTAATTGAGGGACTAGAGAAAAGAAGAATAACATACTGTACTCACTGCTTAACTGTGTTTCTAGATCACGCTCATTTCAGGTCAATTTACATGCAGTGTGAAGATACCAGCATAATAAAGATCGCTAGCATTAGCATGCTAACACAACAATGCAGCGAGAGTTGTTTTGGTTTCATGCTGGAGCTCAAGGGCGACATCTGCTGGATCAAAACATCACATATAAAGACTTTAAGCATCTCTGCAGTCTGTAGCGCTACATTTGTGTCGCTGGTCAAAAGTTGGCGGCCTGTGGCCAACCCCAATGATCAGCAAATCAAGGAGGTGTGCCATGACACCTGTCACTTATTGACACTACGGGGGGATGGAAGAGGAAGCTACAGTGAAGGGCTGTAAAACATAAAACCTACTTCCGGCTTAGTTAGATCTTTTTTTCACCTTGGAAGTCACAGAAGTGGATCCTCCTCTTCTCCAGCTCCGGGTTGTTCCGTCGGTTGTATTTGGGTCCCGTGAGCACGCCCTGGCCGTGCGTCATCAGCATGGCGTGATGGGACAACCCCGTCACCTTCATTCCCCCCAGGCGCTGCTGATAAGGAGGCGGAGCTTGTGTCACTAAGCTCAGCAAATCCGCCTGATCGTCTGGGCTCCCCGGCTGAGAGTTCGGGGGCGAAGGCGGGAGACTGTGGGGGGCCGTCGTGTGGCTCGGGGAGTGCTGGTAGTAACCGTGGTGGTGCTGCTGCAGCTGGTGCTCTGCCATCAGGTAATTGCCGTTGGCCGTCGGCAATGAAACGCCGCCAATGTTCATGATGGTCCTGCCGCCTGCGGAGACGTGCGCCGACGGGCTGGTGTGGGACAAAGTCATAGTGAGGTCGGCGCAGCTGGTGATGGGCATGTGGTAGACCTGTGGCTGTGGGGGGTGGGGTCCGATGTGAAGCTCTGTGCCCAGGTTTTGCTGCTGCTGCTGCTGCTGATGCTGAGACCCTGCAGGCCCGCTCGCCGCTCCTCCAGCGCTCATCTCCGGTTTGATGAAGACGCTGTTGACAACGGGCGGGACGCTGAACACCGAGGTGAAGTCCGGCAGCGACTGGGTTGTGGAGGTCGGGATGGAGCAGGGCACCTCCAGCCCGGGCTCTGTTTTGATCTGATGCGACGCCAGGGTCTTGGCGTTGGAGCGGTAGAGGCCCGTGCGGAGGTGGGTGGTGCTGGGGAGGATGACGTTGATGTTGAGGCTGTACGGCGTGGCGGGTTTGTCCTCGGAGAAGTACTCGTCCACCACCGAGGCGCTCTCTCGTCTGTACTTCTTGTCCGTGGGGTCGGGTGGGAGAGTCAGGAGAGGAGCGCCGGTGTGGGGGAAGTATTTGTCCAGCTCCAGCTGAGTCTGAAAGAAACAACGGAGAGAGAGAGAGAGAGAGCAGGGATAAAGATGGCTTCCAGATTTGTTATCAAACAGGACTAACTTAACGCTGCACGTTATTTCTAACCGCCTGCTTTTCCGACTTTTTTCTGGCTTCATGTTGACATCAGAAACAGAGCCAGACCTCTTCTCTGAGTCTGGATCGATAAACAGGACCTGGAACCTAAACCTGGTGTGGTAGAGGTTCAGATGAGCATTTCATTGAGGATTAAGTGCTTCTTCCTTTTCCATCACCGTTCTCATTATGGTCACAAATAACGGGACAGATAGTTCAATATTGCCTCGACCTGCTTTGTTTACACATCTAATTACAAACTCATGAAGATTGTGTGTTTGGATATTTTCTACTGTACTTGTCTAGGTATATATATATATATATATATATATATATATATATATTTGTTTTTATTCTATATATTTACATTTTTATATTCCAGGCATGGCACAGTACATTTCATTGTACTCTTGTGCAATGACAATAAAGTCTATTCTATTCTATTTTGAACCCACAAACACTGCAAAAACTCAAATCCTACTAAGCCCAAAAATATCTGATTAAGCTTATTAGAAGCCTCATTCACCCAAAAACTCCAGGTAAACATCTCATTTCAGGTTTTACAGGTGAAAAATTAAGATTTACTCACTTGGAATGCGTTAAAGTAGAAATAATACAACTTATTCAGGCAGCATTTTCACTTATAATATCTCAAAATGAGACGTTATCTGGACTTGTCTGGTCAATGTGGCTTTCATTAAGAGCATTACGATATTTTTGACCAGATATGAGACAGATTCAGTCGGTAGGGCTTTAGTTTTTGCAGTGAAGTCCCTCTCTGTCTGGAGGATTCAGAGCGTTTTAATCTACTTTATGGTTCTTTGTGTATAGAAGTCATTCTCTTCCTCCTCTTGGGAGAAATTCTGTCCTCTTTTAAGTTAAAAATTTCTGTAAAAACATGTAAAAGTCAACCTAACAATGAAACGAAGGTAAAAAGGTTGAAAAGCTGTGGAGACATTTTCAGCAGCAGAAGCAGCTACGAGCTCATTGTGAGATGAATGTGCTGCAGACTGAGAAAAGGTGGCTGTGACATTGCACAGAACCGCTCGACCCAAAAGTTAAATCCACCAAGTAGAGACAAATACATAAAGAGAGAAAATATGAATAAAATGATAAAAGTTCTTAGAGAAGCTGATACCAGGACTCCCTCCTCCACCATCATCCTCCCCTCCTTCATATCTCACATTCCTGTTTTGAAGTGGAGCTCAGTGCCCGGACAAACAGCCAGGACCAGAAGAGGGTCAGATGAATGTTTTACTGGCTCATAACCACTCGAGCGAAAGGCTGGCTGTGCTAACAACGGCTAACGCTAGCCAATCTTGTCAAACCCATTTGAGATTGTTTACCCGTGTGATCCTGACTCTTTCAGACGTGTTTAATAAATGTTTCTGAGTGTTTGCCCAGACTTTAGACTAGAGGACTCGTCTGAGTTTAATGATCAGAAATTAGACAAGCCACAGGAAGTGGAAAAGCACAAAACAACGCAGCACACATCAAGTAAAGAGGATGCAAAGAACAAAACTTTGACTCAAAACCTGATTCAGACACAGCTGTATGTCACACACAGGATCATAGAAACAATGTTATAATCTTCCGTATTCCTTCCTGACACATTTCGATGGCTATCATTGGTTTCCACTTTCAAAGCTTCCCGGCTGGTTATGAACTTCTGAAATAATCAGATGTGATCACAGAGATGATATATTTGACATAAAGACAGATGCACCACTCTGTGTTTGTTTCCTGAGGAAACCATCATTGACTGAGCGCTTATGATGCAGATACACACACGAAGGGAAAATAAAGACCAGAAAACAAACAAGAAACTTTTGGTTTTACTTACTTCAAGAGAAAAAATAAAAGTTAACTTAGGTTGCAGAAACACTTTCACCTCTTAAAACATGTTAGAGCAACTTTCTGCAGGTGATGAAAACGTACTGATCGTTTTGTTTTAAAAGATGGAGTCACACGCAAACTCATTGCATCAAAATAATCCAACAGTTTAAATGACAATCTGATGACAGTTTGTCGTTGTTGTTGTTTGCACATGTTGCTAGAGACATGAGACCTGAAGGTGTGGAAATGTGTTTTTTAAGAAACAGGACTGGACAAGTGGAGGCGAGCACAAGAAAATAAAGTGCAGGTTGTTTAAGTGAACGGCATTATCTTCTCCTAATCCTGATGAACTGCTCTGTGTGTGTGTGTCATTCAGAGTCGTTGCAGCAGACAGATGCTCCTTTAGAGGTGCACAAGCCGTTACCTAAAGAATCTCTGCTGAAGTGATCACTGTCAGGTAAAAATAGACCTGCCAGACAAATGTGATCCGTCAGTCACAATGCAAACAACACAAGCATGAAAGAGAGGACGACAAGCAGGGAGGAGGGACTGGAACGAGTCCAAACAAAAGAGAACACTCCATACAGTCAGATGAACTAAATAATACAAAAGGAAGTGATATAAGTTTGGAATCTGCAGTCTGATGTGACTGATGATCTGTCTGACAGATGTTTACTGGGAATGTAAATCAGCACATTTATGATGGAGAACGGTTTAACTTTGTTACCCGGATTAGACAGAACTGAATTTAGATTCCCATTAACTGACTAAGAAAACAGATTAGTCTAAAGGTTAGAAAACACTCAGAAAACATTCAAAATTGAGCACAACGCATTCATAAAGTCTGCTGGTAAACGATGTAAGATAGTTAGCTGAATGTGGCTAACAACTAACATTAGCAGTGCTAACAGCGCTAGCTTGTGGTTTAACATCCACATGTCTGAGCTGAATGCTGAGGACAACAAGCCGGTTTAACCCCGACACAGCCTACATGCTACTTTGTCTCTGTTCACTACATTTAAATACAGCTGAATCACGCTGCTCCTACGAGATGCTATCACTGTGCCTGTTTACATCCGGGTGGTAGAGCGGGACAAGCAGGTCCATCAAACCACAGATACAGCCCGCCGTCTATGGCTAAGCCACGACTAGTGGTGAGTGGCTGCGGTGCAGTTTGAACAAAATGTTTGAGGAGCATTGAGGGCCGAAAAATAGAAATATTAATAATACATTTAAATGACTTTGACCCGACAAGCGAGGGTGAAGAAGTTTAAACGTTTAGTCACCTACACACAAACGTCCATACTCGATTTGATTATTACATTTAAGTTATTTGACCAAATCAGCATCAGTAAAAATGTGGTCAGTGACTGAAAAACACAAAAAGCGTTCTCCTTTTTCTGCTCCTTAAAATATGCAGAACTTGTAGAACATTTTTGCTATGATAAGTTAGTGAGTGGAAACATTTTAAAGCCTTTTAAAAGTCTGAATGTCCTCTGACTTCTGACGATCAGATGTACTTGTGCTGGATTTGGTCTGCTCCCCTTGTGCTTAGCTAAATGTTGTTGTTGTCTTTTTAATCTTTAACTGATGCGTTGTCTCTGTCAGGCGTCCTCAGAAAAGAGTCTCAAACCTCGGGGCCTTCTGGGTTTAAAACAGATTTAATAGCTGTGTGAATTGCGCCCCCTCAGAGGGATCCTGGTGAGCACTGAAGTCCCGGCCTCAATCCACTGACTTCGAGACAAATGACCTAACGAGGTGCTGATGGTGCTCGAGGTCGTGTCCAGAGGGCACAAAGCAGCCGAGAGAGAGTCTGTGTCAACACGTTCATTCTGCAGCACTGATTCCAGCGCCAGCGCCATCAACACAAACCCTCTCTCATCGTCCTCCTGTTAATAATCTGACGATGGATATTCATACACAGAGAGCGCGGAGGCTCTTCAGCCTGGGGGTCAATTCTATTTGTGCACTTTAAGAAGTTTAAATAATGTCAAAAACATCTTTTGTAAGCTTCTCTTCAAATGCAGGATTCTTTTTTATGCATCACAAATCATGCTGTTATCTCAAATTCATCATTGTAGATTCTCTCATATGCTACACGTCTAGTGTTCATAGGATCGACTGCATTTATCCATGTGTTGATCGTCTGTGTGTGTTTCCTCCATAGCGCCTGCCGGGACGATAGACGGCCATCGTTTGCTGCAGGTGAACTCAAACCTTCCTTGTCGTCGGTGCAATCTGAGCACTCGGTGAAATTAAAGTCTGGGGCTATTTACTGCAGGAAAAAAGAAAAAAGACAACAAAAAACAGCCTCTCTGTTTTCTTCTCACTGAGAGCTCCTGTGTGCCTTTCAGGACGGGGACACAAGCGGGGCCTGTGCTGCCTGCCGGGACGCTGGCAGAGGTTACACGCTGTGCTCGCCCTTGGCCTGTCACCCTGAGCTCTCTGACTCACTCCCCAACTTCCCCGACTTATGACTGTGTTGTACATGCGAGGAAGAAATGTTGCAGAGAAAGGTCAGCAGAGTACAACGGAGGGTGCTGCTGCAGTTTCTTTAACAGACAAGATGCATGTTAAGTTTAAATCAGTTTGAATTTCACCAACAATCCTCCTGTGAGTGATCCTCTAACTCCACCACACGTCGTTATTCATAGATTTGAAAGTCACTAACTTTGCACACATGCTCAGCAAAATTTCACAGGCAAAAAACTTTGGAAAAGAAGAATAATCTTCCTCCCTTCATAAAGAGAAAACTACAGCATGACTCTCATAGTAAACACAAACATCAGTCATATTTAACGTCCCCATGAAACAGAACTTCCAGAGTAACTGATGTGTCGTTAAAGGCTTTATATGTGATTTTTTGATCCAGCAGGTGTCGCCCTTGAGCTCCAGCATGAAACCAAAACAACTGGCGCTGCATTGTTGTGTTAGCATGCTAATGCTAGCGATCTTTATTATGCTGGTATCTTCACACTGCATGTAAATTTACCTGAAATGAGCGTGATCTAGAAACACAGTTAAGCAGTGAGTACAGTATGTTATTCTTCTTTTCTCTAGTCCCTCAATTAAACAACTTTTATACACGAGGGGAGGAGTCAGCCGGCCGTCCGGGCGATGTAAACAAAGTGAAGATAGGACTCTGAAAACTCTGAAAACATCACAGACAGTGGGACTCGGGTGTGCTCGGAGTGGTCGCACAAAAAAGGCAGGGCGCTGCACT